AAAAAAAAAAAAATCATAGATGGATCCCATATTTGTTTTAGAATGTTCAACACAGTGTTCATTTTAAGAATAAAATCCTGGAAACAATGTCCAACCACACATTAACTAAATAAATTATAAGTCAGTACAGAGGATCATGATGCAGCCATTCAAAATCAACCTAGTTTTTCTCTCCTGGAAACATTAGACAATAGCTCAGCCCTCAATCTCTGACTTGTTTTCCCAGGCATGTATTTATTTATTATTATTATTATTTTTTGTGGTGCTGAGGATCAAACCTAGTGCCTCACGCATGCAAGGCAAGCCCTCAGTCACTGAGCTACAACCCCAACCCCTTCCCAGGCATTTTTAAATGGCTCTACCAATAACTTGGTAAAAACAAAACAGGCCACTTTTCCCCATGCATGAGCCCCTCTAATCCCATTCTCCCTAGCCCCCACCCTTCTCACCTGAGAAGGCAGGATTAGGCATTGTGGGGGCCCAGGGGTGGGTTGAACTCTGCCCAAAGGGTTCTGTACTGGGAACACTGCTTCCTTTGACTTACTGATAATGTTTAAAAAATATATCAGGCATGAATTTCCATATAGCACTGTACAGGGCAGAAAGTCTCAAATACCCTTTCATTCAGCAGACACACATCAGTGCCTGTTCTGTGCCAGGCACACAGGAGACCTTGGGAGGACAAAGATGAATGAGATACTGCCTCTGCCTTCCTTGGCAAAACAAGTGAAGTATTGCAGCTATAGAGGAGTTCCAGCCAACACAAAATTTACTTAACTTTACTCTTCTCCATATTTTTTCCTCCTTTATTTTTAATTTCCCTGAACCTAGTGCTCAACAGAGCAGAGACACTGGATTCCAAAGCCCTGGCGCTCAGTCCCCACTCTGACACTTACTGGCTTGACTTGATTTGCTACTTGTGCTTTGATCTTCCTTATCTGTAAAATGGGGACCCAAAGTGCACTTACTTGGCAAGGCTGTTGGAGAATTCAGTGAGGTAACACCTGAAAATAGTTCCTCAGCATATGAAGTCCTGTATTTCCTTAGTCATTTATTATCTGTCTGCTCCAAGTTCTCTGGCTTAGCAAGTGTCATTAGCCAAACAGATGTCAAGCCACATTAGTTTGCTTGTTAGTTATCTAAATCCTGCCCCAAAAGTGATGAAGGACAACCTCCCTCCTAGAATGATCCCAAAAGCAACGGAGAGAAAGTTCTGGACAAGTATGACCTGTCTAGTTTTTAACTCTTACCACACCTGTGGTTGCTGCCCTAGCCATCAGAGGAAGAGTGTGGCTTTGCTCTCAGCCCCAGGTCACTGCCCTAGCTCATCCTGTGCGCATCCCTTCCACCCCCATCCCATGCCCCATGCCTCACCTTGGGCAGGTCCGTTGCTCCACGGATCCGCTGGGCCACTTTCTCTCCATCAGGGTGGATCTTGGCTACATGCTTCCACATCCTTTCCCAGGTGGCTTCGTCCACAGGCAGCCCACCCCGGTTGACGAAGAAAGGGACGCCTCCATCTCGCAGGTCCTCTTCCCCTTCCTCTTCTGGCTCATCATCTCTCTGGGCAGAGGCCCCTTCGCTGGTCTCCAAACGCCTGACCCCAGTGGGGACGGCGACAGTGGCGGCAGCAGTTGGGGCAGCACCGCTGCTGCCACCCCCAATCACCTTCTTCCCTCCTGGCATTCCTAAATCCTCGGTGCGGGTGGGAGGGGGTATCAGGAGGCGGGAAAAATAGGTGGTTCACCAGAGGCCTCCCACACACTAGCTGCAGAAATAACACATGGCCAAACAGAGGGTAGGGCGCCTTTAAGAAACCAGGGCGTGGCTCTTGTACAATGAAATACTACTCAGTAAGAAAAAAAAAATCAGTGCATCAACCTGAAGTGGGGGCCCAGGGGTGGGTTGTCCTGGGTCAGCCTTAAGGGCCTTGTTTTGTTTGAAAACCGGGATAAAGAGACTACACCCCAATCCCGCAGCCTTCACAAAGCACCCTTATTGGGCAGTGAGAACAATGACGGGCAGCCGGGGGTGGGGCAGTCGAGGGAAACTGAGGCCAGACAACTCGGATCTGCGGCCGCGGAAAGGGAGGGTCAAAGGCACAGTGCCCACGCCGCCCGGGCGTCCGGGTTCCAGTTTGGAAGTGAACAAAAATTCCTCTACAAAGCCCCGCTCGCTCACACCTGTGCGCGCCCCTGGGGGTGGAGGGACCGCGGCCACTGGGAGCCTGGTGAGCTCCGAGTGGGGACCCCCGGGCGGGAGGGCGACG